TTTGCTTTTCGCATGAAGCTGTAACAGGGCAGATCAGGAAGTATTTTTATCCTAGAGGAAAACTAGTGATGTAAGGGCCCAATACTGCAAAGACTGGAGGTGCACTGCAAAATTAGGGGCTAGGGTTGAATGGTTTTTAACATGGGAACCAATGGAAATAAAATCTGTTTGTTAATTGCAGAAGCAGGAGTGTGAGTATGCAGCAATTGGGCCCACTCAATTTATTGTCCTCTTCTGTACTTTATCGTTGTGGTTAGCAGTTCTGCTTTTAAACTGAGGCCCAAATTTAACTACGGGTAGCAATCACACGGCTGATTTATGTGGTCACCTAAAGTGGCTCTGCGTTTTGGTTTTTCCTGCTGTCTACCCAATTTATGGAATGATTATTAAATGCAAAATCTAGGAGCGCCATTTGGGGTAGGGAGCCAGAACCCAGCACCCATCTCTTTGAGTTGCGTTTCCTCCAGTTTGCTTTATTTCTGGCCCTTGGTTTTTAGTTTTTTAAGCTTCAGGAGGAGGCCTTCTCCATGGCCTTGCAGTTGGTGTGCTTTGCTATGAAACAGGAGATACAGGTTTTAAATTTGTGGAGCAGCAGGTAGGGTGCTAGAAGTTGAATTTTTCACTTCCTGGACAAATGTCTTAACCAGTAGGCCAGCATCTCTCAACCTGTGGGTTGTGACCCAAAAGTAGGTTGCAAGAATATATGAAAGGGTGGGGAGCAAACTTTGTAAATGGATCAACAGACTTTAAAAATGGACTGTTCTTTAAAGGAAAAACAATGGGAAACTGTTTTTTCCTGTGCAGGCTGGCAGAGTTCCTGCCTACAAGAGGCTGCTTGTCCCCCTCCCCCCACCCCCTTGCCCCACACATCCATCCCCTGCCCCACACACTGCGGGGCTGGGGCTTAGGGTCTGGTTTGGGGCAGTGGGTTGGGAGTGAGGGGCACTGGGCTGGGACTGGCCATCAATGTTTACAAATGGGGCCTGGTACAAAAAAGGTTGAGAGCTACTGCACTAGGCTATAGGGCTAGAATTGGGACTTCTATTTTGGGATTATGCATAGAATTATATCCCTGGCTAGAATGGGAATACAATAGGATGGAAGGAGTTGGGAATGGTTCCTGTGCACAGAAGGGGAAGGGGAACTGTGCAGGGTGGAGGTGGATCTAAGATTCACATAAATGACCTGAAATGCTGCTTTCTTATTTAGCTGTGGCAGTATAAGGGCTACTGACTGCCTAAAGGGCAGTTATAGAATCATAGACAATTAGGGTTGGAAGGGACCTCAGGAGGTCATCTAGTCCAACTCCCTGCTCAAACATCAAACAAACATAATCTATCTCATTCTTTTCCAAGCTCCTTTCGTCTCTTGTGGTAGTGTTGTTTTGTATGAAGTTACACAATTATCACAAAGCTGAATATCTCAAAACCCTATTCTATAATTAAGGCCAAGCTCTTTATTAATTGCACCTCTGCAACCTCACTGAATTCAACTACTGTATATTACAAAGGTACTATAGAAGATAGAACTTCAGTTTGGGTGTGTTTAATTTTATAAAATATATTTACACATTTTGGGGCATGTGTACGTAAAACACACAACAGCAGTATACATATTTATTATTTATATAAAATAAATAAATAAAGCCACCACTCAAACATATCTTAAAATATTTCGTTCAAACTTTACATGAAAATGAACCTCTTCAGGGAATTTAAGAAAATGATGAGCAACTGAAATACAGAATATATAACAAGAGTTAGATTTCAACCATAACCACATATATGTATAGATCAGAGGTGTCAAACATATACAGCTTGTGGGCTGTATCTGTCCCATGGAGCCATATGTTTCTGTGATTTATGGGCCAGATCAACCCCATGTACTGGCCTTGGCCCCATGCACTGCATGCAGCATGTGGTCTGGACTTGGCTCTGTGTGTCCTGCACACAGCACAGGGGATCAGTCTGGGGCACACAGTGCACGTTGCACTCTGCAGGACCAGCCCTGCATGCTGGCTCTGACCTGGTGTAGATCAGGCTGTGCCACACGTAGCACGTGCTCTGTACCAGACCTCCCTGCCACATGCACAGTGAGGCCTGGAATCGGTGTGTGCAGCATGCAGGCTGGACCTCATGTTGTATGCACTGCACACAGAGTTGGTTCCTGTCTGCTCACAGACTGCCCCAGGGATCCTTATCTGGCCTGTGGAGCTGGATTAGTTTGACAGTCCTTGGTGTAGATGATTTCTTTGGTTCCACTGATACCAAGTGCCTTTCAAACTTTACATACTGGTATAAAAATACATTTAAGGATCTATAAAATAACAGTTAACCATATGCTAATAAATCTACTTTGTTGGAAGAATCAGTCCCAACGCTGCAGGTACCAAAATGGCTATTTTGGAGATGCTAGTCACAGATCTGTCACTTAGGTTTTGTTCTTAAAGCAGACAAAGTATTTATTATGCATGCAAATGGAAGCAATTGCTCTTTGAGAATAGATGGAACATTCTGAGAATTTGGAAGTAAATCTGTTAAATGGTTTAGACTTAATTTTAATTATAAGTTGGGTCCTATAAGAAATTTAACAGCAGGTGTCAGACCTTTTTTTAGTCTCAAATTATCTTAATAGCAGAATAACTCTGGCAGTTCAAACTTCCCATCTAGTTTAAATTCACAGAAGTCTTTTGACTAGGCGGCTGCTTCTGACTTTTCTTTCTTGAGGATGGATAGTAATACTTGCAAATTATTCTTCCAGCAGAAAGCTGCTCCTTTAGTTAGCGCTGAAGAGTAAGTTTCTCGTATCAAGTTCCTCGGAGAACTCCCCCTATCTAAATATGACAACTTGTTATTATTCTCAGAGATCCTGGAGCCACAGTTTGTACTCAGGTGGCCAGTATGAGAAGGCAGAGTAGATTTGCACCTTTCCCAGTGGATCTCAGCCTTTTTAGACTCAAGGCACCCCTTTGATTCCTGCTCCACCCAGAGTTTAAAATCAACTACCTGGCAGTGACAGCAGCATTTCTCAATAGGCAGCGCTGAGTGAGTCACTTGAATAAGGCAGAGGGGTGGGACTGGATGACCTCTGGAGATCCCTTCCAGGCCTACTTCTCTATGACTTCCTGGCTCCTTATCATCTACCTGATCCCTCCTAAACTCTTCATTCCATATGTGTATAGCATTCCTCCCTTCTTTTGAATAGGCTTGGTGTCCCACCAAGCAAAGGGGTTGTGCTATGCTATGCTATGCTGCTGCCTGTTTCCTGCTCCTGGTGAGGCAGCTCCTATCTTACAGCCCTGTGGATTAGTTTTGAACTCTTTCCAATGAAATTCTCTTTGTTTCTTCTTCAATCTAACACTAAATAATACAGCCCTGCCTAGGCCTCTAGCCTGTTAGAAATAATGTCTAATTTCTTTTTACCTGGAGAGAAACACCTGTAGTTTTAGATGCCACGATGCCCCTCACCAGGTGTACCACCCTCCCCCCATTTTTTAAAATCCTAGCTCTATGGAAAGGTTCATGCCACTAGCCTACACGAGTGCTTTGTAAAATCTAGAGCCACTCATGTGCCTACTTCAGATCAGAAGTGTAGCCATGAAAGATCCAAATGGCAGCAGTCCTAGCCCAAGCATCATCAGTGAAGATGTGATTATTATTAATGATCACGCTCATGAAAATAACAATGCATCCGCTGAATACATGTGGATGGAAAATGAAGAGGAGTTTAACAGGCAGACTGAAGAGTTACAGGAAGAATGTATTTAACATTGTTTTTTAGAAATGCTGGAAAAGGAAGAGTAACACAAATGGTATTATTCCCACTCGAGATCTCCCATAAACAGGGTGCATTTACTGTCCTATGGCTGAGTTAATTAGTTTATTTCAGTCGAATAGCACTGCATGTGTAGATGCTAACACTTTACTGTGGAGCTAATCAGTCAGCTCTGCAGCAAACCTCTCATGTAAACTGTCCAACACAAGTATGATCCTATGGTGGAGTTATTTTCCCTGCTGCAACACGCATGTAGATGCTGACTGGGGCTGACTTGTGCCTGAGGGTTGCCCCACACCGCAGCACTTTTGTACCCCAGCCAGCCCCTCCACAGCATGTCGAGTTGAGTTGGAGCAGCCCCAGGCTGGCAGGTGGACCCCTGGCACCCCCTGCCCGCTGGGACTGGTCCGCTGTGGCTCAACGTACTGTGGTGTCAGGCGCACCTGTAAAAGTGACAGAAAAAAAACTCCATTGCAAATTGCATGGGAGTTTTTTTGCGTCAGATTGGTTTCATGAGTCGATGTGCCCAGAGTGGATCAAATCCAGGACCAATTTAATGGCCTTGCTATCAGCGACAGCTCATCACCGGAGGATGTGATGATCAAGGGTCATCTGAAGCCGAGCGCGAAGGAGTTTGCTTCTGGGACGAAGCACTAAGTGTGGGAGCAGCCTGGGCCCTCTTTTGGCTGATGTAGTACAACTTCTAGGCTGTGAAGCCAGGCTGCAGAAGGTCTCATCGCAAAAGCTCTCTCTCCTTGTCACTGGGCGCAGGGACATAGCAGCTTACTGCACATTAGCATCATACCACTGCGCCCTAGCATCTCACAGCAAAAACTGTGCGAACAGCCTATCCTGCAGTGGTATGAGGCTAACGGGCAATAAGTGTCACTGAATAACTGTGCTCTGGCACTACTACGCAGTAACTTAAGGCACTACCGATGTCTTTACCACGTTACAAAGGAAGTACTGAACGCGCAGTATGTGAGGTGCGTTAAAGCCCAGCGTGTCACACTTCCGCATTGCCCCAACCGTGCTAGTCCTGCAGGCGTCACACAAGTTATGAAGCTGTCACAGGTTGAATGACGTCAGGTCGGGAGAGGTGGAGGTTGGGCGCGGGCGGGGCGAGAGCAGGAGGCGCAAAAGCCCCGCCCCGCGAGAACGAGGCCGCCCCTTGGAAGGCTCCTCGTGGGTCACGTGACGGCGCCGCTAACTCCAATAGTTCCGCGGGGGGGGACAACATCTAGGGCTCGGTGTTGCTATGGCGACGGGCCGTGGCTGGGTCCTGCGGCAGCACTGGGCGCTGGCTGGCCCCGCCATGCGGGCCAGGTACCCGCTCCCCCCCGCTCGGGCTGGGGCAGGGGCACCGGGGTGGAGGAGAGCCCTGTGCTCCAGGCAGGGGGCAGAAATAGGGTGTCTAAGCCCACCTTGCCCCTAGAAGCCCCCGTGGGGGGGCACGTGCCAGCACATCCCTTGCTGGTGGGGCCTCTTGCAGAGCTGTAACCCCCCCCCCGGGTGATGGGGGGGCTCCCCAAGGGCCTGTCGCCCGTGGCTCAAGGCAGCTAAAAGACCAACTGGGGATGGGGGTGAGGGGTGTAGGTTAAAAATTAAGCCACCGGGTGGGGGGAGAGCCAGCAGAGGACACTGGTCTGTAGTGAATCGGGGCACCCCTGTGTGTTGGAATGTTGTTGGGGGCGGCTCAGCAGCCCCAGAGGCTGCTCGACAGGGGGAAAGCCAGAGCTCTTAGTTTGGGGCCTGGCACTTCCTGGCCAGTTGAGATTTTTCATCTTTTCCAGTAAAGATGGAAACAAGTTTGGCTGCAGCCTTGGGGGCCAAGTCCTGGGATTTGCCAGGGTAATTCTCTCTTTTTTTTTAAAGCCTGGCTGGAGTGGGGAAAAAAACTGGAAAACATTTCTATTCAGGGCTCAAAGCCAGAAGTAAACTTGGTAAAGAAATAGCAACAATCCACTGCTACTTCACAGTTTGATTTTTGGAGAGCCTGACTTGAGTGGGATGTTTCCTCTCAACATTTCTCTTGGTGTTTTCTGCAGAAAGATCTGTGTTTGTGGTTTGTTTGCTTTCTAAATGAAAAAGGGAAATACTGTCATCCTGTTAAGAGAGAAACTCTAGGAGTCTTAGAAATGGGGGATGGCAAAAACAGCTGAGATCTGAAGCTAATAGTTTTGTCTGGGTTGATTTAATACAACTAGCTATTAGTATACTTCATGCACAGCTAGTGAAACATTCATTTAAGCTCTCTTCTGTGACTGGTTACTGTAATGTCTAGGTACTTTGCAAGTATTAAATTACCCTTACCATGCTGCCTTGCACTGCATACAACTTGTGTGGGGCAACGACTGCAGTGACTAAGTGTTTTGAAAAAGACCTTGACTAAGACACAGGTGGAATAGAGTGTCTTGAGTCAGATAATCATTGAGATGCATAGCTAGAGGAGCTGCAAAATGCTACTGGATCAGAGTACTCTCAGTGGTGCTGATGCTGTTCCAAATAGTAAATCAGACCAGAATTTGCTCAACAAGACAGAGAAAAAATCAAGTACTGTATACCACTTTGCAGAAATGCATTATATCTTGGTTACGAGTACATGTAAAATATTTTCCTATGAATTCTTACTTGTTCATAATCATACAATTCTTGTATATTGAATACTCTGGATTTTTGTGATGATCAGCTTTACCATAATCATTCTTTCTAAACATACATGTCTCATGTAGTGAGATACAGAATTCTGACTGCAAACTATATGCAGTAATATAGTTACATCTTCATTGTAATTGCAAACAGTGTTGGGCTGTGGCATGTAAAATCCATGAGTGCAAGATGAGTATACTCTTTAGCAAAGTAGAAAAACTCCGTAAGTGCAGCAAATGTGCAGTGGGTTTAATTATTGTTTCTTTTATGTTGTAGCTTTTACAGCACTGGTTTCTCAGTGATTTTGTGAAGACTGTTCTCCTTTCTGTTTAGCCTGATTTGTTTAGCAGTGCCTTAGTTTTATGTTTCATTGTGAGTTTGTTCTACAGCAAAACAACTCATTTGTCTCAAATGCTGGATTTACAAAAGGAACTGAGTAGACAGTGCATACAGAATTGGAAAGCAAAACCTGAACAAGCAGAAACTCCATTGGTTCATCTATTGTTGACAGTGTGACTAGCTAATGCGGGGGGTGGGGTGTGGAATCTGACAACTTGAGGTTGGCCCTAAAGCATGTTGTTGCACATTCCTTCTTCTCTAATGTGGAGAAACCCCAAACATCACATACCTAAATCTCCAAAACTATACTATAGGTGGGTGACCAGCATTCGTGTGCAATTCTCTTCTTTCCTCAGGAAGTCCTGACATCAAAAATACTTTGATTCTTAGAAAACTGAAATTTCTAATGGCAATAGTAGGCCTGGTGAAAGAGAAAAACTTGTCAAGCCTGATCAGAGACTTAGTGTGGGGATAAATAGGCTGTGGTAGTGGAGTCATGAAGGCTTAATGGACTGTAAGATATTACCTAATGGCATATTGGGCTGCATTAGTAGGAGAGTTACTAGTAGGTTGAGGGAGGTGATTATTCCCCTCTATTCAGCCCTGGTGAGGCCACATCTGGAGTACTGTGTTCAGTTTTGGGCCCCCACTACAGCAGAGATGTAGATGAATTGGATAGTCTAGCAGAGGGCAATGAAAATGGTGAGAGCTGGGGCACCTGATTTACAGTGGAGAGTCTGATGGAACTGGAGAAGAGAGAATGGAGGGGGAATTTAATGGTATTCAACTACCTGCAGTGGGGGTTCCAAGGAGGATGGAGATAACTGAACAAGAAGCAATGGGCTCCAGTTGCAGCAAGTGAAGTTTAGGATGGATATTGGGAAGAATGTTCTCACTAGGAAGGTAGTAAAACACTGGAACAGTTTACCCAGGGAGGTTGTGGACTGTCCATCTTTGAAGATTTTTAAGACCCAGCTGGAAAAAGCCTTGGCAGGGATGATCTAGTTGGGGCTGGTCCTGCTTTGAACAGGGGGTTGGACTAGATGATTTCCTGAGGTCCCTTCCAACCTGAATTTTCTGTGGTTCTATGATTAACAAAGGCCTGTGAAAAAGGAGGAAAACAGGTTTCAGTGAAGTAAAACAATTGATTTTGAGCATATTTGTACTTTCTATGACCATCATTTTGACTGTTTCCTTGTTTAGTGCAAGCAGATTAGGATCAGATGTCTGGGATTTTTCAAGGAATTGAAGGAGTTAGATGCTTGACTTTGATTTAAACTATACATCTCCTTGGGCTGTGAAACTCCTCCTAAAATTGTATAACTCCTTGAATAATCCCATGTTTAAGGGTCAGTCAAATTTTGGGACTGATTGGGATATAGTTTACTCTTTCTAATCTTCAAAATAGTTTTTAAATTTAAAAACTATATTTTAAAATTTACTTCTAAAATATTTCTTGATTAAAAAATATTTTTAGATGTTTTCCTTTCCTTTTCTCATGCATCTTCAGGACAATTGATTTTTAGCAGCTAGTAATCCCAGTAAACATCTGGAAGCAGGTGCTGGTAGTAAAACGCTTTTGGTATTTGAATCATAAGAAAAGAACTAAGGAGAGGTGAACTTAATTGTATAGGAATATTAGTATAACTATAAGCTTTGAAATTTGAGGTGAAATTCAAGAGTGACTGATTTTAATGGTTGCCTGATTGTGTGTGGAGTTTCCAGATGTATCTTGTGCGTATATCTGAAGGACCATTTAGGAGGATATGCATAGGTGTCTCAGCTCATGTTGGTCTGTGATTTTATTTATTTAAATATTTATTCAGCTCTTTCTTTCTCTGTCTTGTTCCAGCTGTCATTCTGGAAGGTGCATATTTGACTTGTGTGACGTCTTCTGTGCATTTCTTGCAATAGATTATCCCTGATCTTCTTTCCTTCTCTCATTTGGTCTGGGTCATTACCCAAAGAGGCCTCTGAGGTGGAAGATGGTTAAAGATGCAATACATTTTTGGCAATGGAAAGGAAGGAAGAAAGGCATCTTTTATTTTACCTTTGGCACCACAGCGAGACTCTAAATTGGTGCTCATGCTTTTCATTTCATCTCTGCATGTTTGCCTGATCAAAAGTAGTTCACAGACAGAATTGTATGTTGTACCTATATGATTGATTTCAAATGATTGCTCAAAGTTTTCTGGGCTGCCCTGCAGGTAGGAGGAGTCAGTACCAAAGGTGCAGGGTCTCTTTACTAGTAATGATCTTAACCCTTATTCGAGTACCAGTAGCACAGGAAGATGTTAAGCTGCTGTAAGTCCCACATGAGGAGAGGGACTTTCTTCTAGGCTTCTCCTTTGCTATTTCTTGAAGGCATTGCTTTATTGGCTAGGGACCGATTAACAAATTAGTAACCAGGAAAACTTATATGCTACAGGAGCAGGTATAATAAGCTTCATTTACCCAGGAATTTCCTACCAGCCTGGAAGAATTCTATAATGTTATTGCTGGTAGGAAAAAACTCAGGCAAGCATAAACAGGATGCTGAAACTTGCAGACACCAGGTCTATTGTTATCTTTTTTTCTGCAAACTAAGACTGCAGGTAACAGCCACAGATTTTCTATTTAATAGAATGAATGGAATCAATAATTCATTCTTCAATGCAAATGCCAATTTAAAAATATCAATGAAGTAATATTTATTATTAGCTATGAATTTAAGCTAGCGAAACCTGTAATTTTAGTGTTGAATGTAAGCAGCAGCCAGCTAAAATCGGAGGTTGGATCATTATATTTCCTCCTACCCCCTGAAAATCAATTTAGATCACACCTGGATTGATTGATTTAAAATTAAATCAAGTTCACTTAAATCACCAAGATTAATTCCTTGATAGAAAGTAGCAATTTAAATTGGTTATTTAAAAAGAAAAAAATGCAGTATTGATATAAATGTTAAAACATGTAAATTCACAACTAAGTAGAACCTTTGCATTTCACTTGGTACTTTTTATGCTACCTAGGGGGGGATACACTATATGCTTATTGTATAGTTTACTATCTTCATTTTTTAGTAGTTTTGAATTTCTGATGTGTTAGGAAATGGTGAATGGTACGTGTATAGCTTATTTTCAAGGTATCTGTTCACTCATGATTTGTCAAGCAGTTGTGTTAGTATGTTAACTGAAATTTAATTAAATAGAGAGATTTTATGTGTTTTACATCTGACAAACCAACCTTATTTTTGTGTGTGTGTGTATATTTTTTTATTATAAAAAAAAAAAAAAAAATCTTTCACATTTGCAACTAAATGACCACCTGAAGAGGGATTAACTGCAGTAAGTGAGTTA